CCAATAAAATTATTTAGATATTACTATCACTGTCAAGCTACTGTCAAGTAACTTTATTATTTATTATTTACGTTCAACCAAAACCAGAGATATTAATAAACATATAGCTATAAATTTTTAACAAGTTTGAACTTTCTTGAATGTTAAACATATCAGAAATACTCAAATGTAAATAAGATCATGATAAGTATTTATTTATAAAGATAATAAGTCAAACTGAATACAAGTTTTTCAAACTTGCTTCAATATATTAAATTTTTTTTTAGTAGTTTACATATAGTTAATTTATTCATATTAGAGTTTTAAATTTTTCTGAAAAATATATCAAGCAGCTTTCTTAATATAAGCTATTAGTGATTAAGATGGTGCTCAATCAATACAACTAATTGAAGCTGTTATTGTATCAATTTACTAAGAGTATTCTCAAGCCTCAATCTTGATATGATTAGCTTATGATCATAACTATAATTATATTTGCATAAAATTTTTGATAACAAATCGAATATGCAAATTATTAGTTTGCTCAAATATTATTCTCTATATGATTAGCTAATAAACATAATGATACTCATTTACTATCAATCAAAATAAGAATTGTAATACAATTAATACTTAAGCAATTCATTAATAATTCATTAATATTTAGTTAATAAAGTTTCTTGCATGATCTCTTTGAATACTTAATTAGTTGTATCAAGCTAGAGATAAAAAAATATAGTCTACTGTAAATTGAAATGTAAATTATGATGTCTATTTAAATATTCATTACAGTATTAAACTCATTTGACCCTTTAAAATATTTTTTACTAAGTAAATTATTCAGTAATTAAGGTAGTTGAGAATATTCTAAAAGTTTAAATATGATTTTCAAATGAATAAAAAGATCTGCATCTTTAATATTTTTTTTGTTAGTATTATACTATTGCTATTGATTTAGATGCCACCATTTTGATAAAGACTAATTAGTCATACTATCTAAACCTGTATTGATAACCTTATAACCAAAATTCTAAATATTATAATCTTTTTTACTATCAAATGAAGATAATTTATTATAGTGCATAATTTATAATAAAAAAATAATAATAATAATAAAGTAAATAACCTATTTATTTTTACTACTAATTATCTTTTTTCTACCATTCTAATATTATTTTGACAATTATAACCTACTTGAAATATTATTTGTCTTAATAAATTTAATAAAATAGAAGATCCAATGAACAAAATAAATCAGATAATTTCCATTTCGCATTATTATCTAGAGCTGAGTGAGTACTGTTATCTAACTCTACAGGATTATTTTGATCTTTGATTATATCTGCCTCTTTCTTTTTATTTAACATTTCTACTCACCTTTGAAAATACTCACCAAAGTCTGTCTCAGAAATATAAGTTAAATCATATTCTTCATTATCTTTAATTTTTTTATTTTTTTTACCTAAATACTCAGAACCAATATCATTATTACTATTAGCTATATTGATATCTGATATTTCTATATTTAATGAATTAGTATCATCTTATGTTATTTGAATTAAAGGAGTATTATCATGTATTATTTGGGTTGTAGTATTATTATGTGTCATTTGGGTTATAGTATTATCATATATTATTTGAGTTGTAGTATTATCATGTATCAATATAGAATTTAAAAAAGTAGAAAAGAGATCATCTGGCTCACGATAATATTGATAAGTTATATCAGCATATAATTTACTCATATTAAGTACCTTTTGTGTCTAAAAAATATATATAGCAAAAGAAAAACTTAAAATTCTTATTGCTATTAAATAAAAAATTTAAATAATTATATCAGCAGGTTTGTGAAATTGGGTTTACATTAGTAGTATTAAAAAATTAATTGCTAATTATTATTATTATACAATTACAATTATAATTGATTATAATAACCAAAATAAAAATAATTGCAAATAATTGCAATTATTGCAGTTTTTAAAATTATGTAAATTTTGCAGATTATTAAAAAAAAAAGAAATCACATGATTTTTAAACAATTTCTAAATGATTTCTGATTTCTTAAAACAACTCTGGTATCTAGATATGAAATTGTTATATCAGAGTTGTTTTAAGAAATCAGAAATTACTTAAAAATTATCTAAATCATATGATTTCTTTTTTTTTTTGATCTGCAAAATTTATATAATTTTGCAAACTGCAATAAATAAAATTCATTTATCTTTTAGTTATTAAAATTTTACAAATAAACTCAATTTTGCAAATTCACTGATATTGCTTACTAGTAATTGATTTCACTAATTTGTTTGAATAAAACCCATATAGCTCCATAATCATTCTACTGAAGTAGCATTAATACAAATATCAAAAATTTTACATGCCACAAGTTCTAATTCTTTAGTTGAATCTTTGACATAACACCAATAAGATAAAATATCTTTATTTTTAAAATATTGATAAGTTTTATTATCAAAAGAAGAATTTTTTTATAAAAATTATTAAATTCACAAAGAATACATTTTGGTTCTTAGTCTATCTATGTGTGATAATAATAAATTAACCAATTTCCAAAAGTAGAATAACTAATAGTAGTTGCTGTAGCTCAAAAATAACTCATTCTATATTTGGGATGTAAAATTACTGATAATAATAAAATTGGCTATTCCTATTTATTCCAACATCGTTCAAGTCTTCTAATTAATTGTATTGCCAAACAATTATTAGAATTTGATATTCAAAATTGTACAAAATAAGCTATACTAAAAGTGACTTCAAACAAACAGGCTTTATCTTATTGAAGTATATTAAGTAACCTGCAATATAGAGAAAAAATTTTAACTAAATCTTTAATTTAATTTCAAAAAGTATTAGTTCTAATAATTTAATAAATTTCACAATAAATATAATTATCTCCAGTATGGTAATGAATTTCAGAAAAAAGTAGTTTAAATTTTATTGCTAAGATCTAAAAATTATAAAAAATAAATTTTTTTAAAAAATAAAATTTATGATTTATTATTATATAAAAATAAAAAAAATAAATTTAATATATTACTTTAATGCTTCTTGTGTATGTAAAAGAGTTGTACATATAAAAAATAAACTATTCCATCTAGTTTCACAAGGAGCTGAAATTGTATAAATTTTTTAATATATTTTATATTGTTGATTGCATAATTGACTAATAAAAAATTGGTTATTAGCACTTTAAAAATAATTAGCAAGTTTAATTCACTGATTAATAGTTTTTTTTAGTAAAAATGATTTTTTAAAAATCTTGCCTATACACAAATTTAATTAATGGGCAAAATAAGGAAGAAAAACTATTGATCTTCTTAAAATTCTTAAATAATATCTAAATATAATAATTAAAAATATAAATTAATCATTAATTAAATAATTTTAAAAATATACAGTCAACCCTGGCTATAGTCACCCTAGCTATAATCACAACCTTAATAAAGTCACAAAAATTTTTAGACCCAT